GTATTAAAAAAAAAAAATAAATTTTAAATTAGATATATATATATATAATAATTTATATATATATATTATTTTTAAAATTAATTAATTAATTATATATTTTTTTATCTTTAATATTTAATTTTTTTTTTTAAATCCAATATTATCTTCAAATTATAATAATAAATATATTTATATTAATAAAAATTAATATATATATATATATATATATTCATATATAAATATTAAAAATTTAAATTATATATTATTTCATTATCTAAATATATATTTTTTTAAATTTATATTCTAAATAAATTATATTATATATAGATTAATTTATCGATTTATTTATAATATATTTATTATTTATAATATATATATAATTTGAATTTGAATAATATATATATATATATTATTTTCCGAAATAAATTGAATTTATTCGAAATTCTTTATTTAATAGAATTTTATATCTCCAGAAATCTTCATTAATTTGAATATATATTTATTATTTCAATTATATATATATATATTTTATATATTAATTTTTGGAATGTAAATTAATTTTTTAAAGATATATTTCGAATATATTTATATTTATTATATATTTATATATATTTTTTTCTTTTTTATTGAATCGATTAATTTTATAAAATTGAAAAAAAAATATATATAATAAATCTATATTTATTTTTATTTTAAAGAAGAAGAATAAAATAAATTATATATTTTATTTTTGATTATTTATAATATATATTTTAATATAAATAAATTAATATTCTATATATATATATATTTTTTTTTCAATTTATATATATATATAATTTGATTTATTTCTGTATTTGATATATTATAGACATATTATAGAAATAATGATCATAATATTTTTTTTAAAAAATTATAGATAAAAATATATAATTTCTATCGAATTATTTCAATATTTATTTAAAATATTATTTATATCTATTATTTAATTATATGAACAAAAAAAACAAATAAATAAATAAAAAAAAATATATTTCTTATATTTATTAATGATTATATTTCCTATTCATCATAAATTTTCATTTCTTCACAAATAATTTCCCAAATATAAATAATATAATATTAATCAAGAAATATCGATCATATATATATATTTATATCAAATTAATTTATATATATATTATTTATATTATATTTATATTTATATTTTTATTTCTATTTATATCTATATCTATATTTATATATATATATATCCAAATTTGTATTTATATCTATATTTATATCTATATTTATATTTATATTTATACTTATATTTATATTTATATTTATATCTATATCTATATTTATATCTATATCTATATTTATATCTATATCTATATTTATATTTATATCTATATATATATATATATCCAAATTTATATTTATATCTATATTTATATCTATATTTATATTTATTCATATTTATATTTATATTTATATTTATATTTATATCTATATCTATATTTATATTTATATTTATATATATATTTATATTTATATTTATATTTATATTTATACTTATATCTATATCTATATTTATATTTATATTTCATTATACAATATTATATTATATTATATTTTATTATATTATATTATATGATATTATATAATATTATATGATATTATATAATATTATATATATAATTATATATTAAATATAATAATATATATATATATTAGATTTATTTCTTATCGATTCGGATAATTTCAATATTATCGGATATAATATCATCAAATATATATTATTATTTAAATTCTTTATAAACAAAATATTTTGAATTATCTAAGAAAAAAAATATATTGATAATTATAATTTATATTTATATATATATATAATTATATTTAAACAAATTATTCTCGTCCAATTATCTCCAATTTTTTTTCTGCGATTTCTATATTTTCTATTCAATCTAATTCGAATGGGATCGTCAATATTGAAATAAAATTGCTAAATTATAATATCGAGAGATTATAATTTGATAACCTATAATTTGAAATATATGATCCCGGTTCGCGGTTCGTCAATCCCCCCCCCAGGGTAATCCCCCCCTCCCCTTGGGGGGGGGATATACCCTATATATACCCTATATATACCCTTCATATATACCCTATATATATATATATATTATATATATATATACCCTATACATACCCTATATATACCCTATATATATACTATATATACCCTATATATACCTTATATATACACTATACATACCACACCATACCACAGGGGGGGAGGGAACACCACAACCAATACCCTATACATATACCCTATATATACCCTATATATACTCTATATATACCACACCATCACAGGGGGGGAGGGAACACCACAACCACAGATAGGGGGAAGGGAACCACCACATGGGGGGGGGGGACCCTGAGGAGGAGAGGGGGGATTACAAAAGAAATCTGGATCATATATATATATTTTTAAATCATATTATTAATTTTTGAAATTAAAATCTTATAAAATAATTATAATTAATTCAATATCAATTTTCATAATAAAATATATCATAAATCCATCTATCAAATTTTTATTATAAATATATATCTATCAATTTCCTATCGATTCGAAAAAAAAAATATAAATATAAAATAAATATAATCGATTATTTTATCATTATTATAATAAATTTAATAATAATTTATATAATATTATATTATTTAATAATCTTTAATTATCATTAATTATTAATAATTTTATATAATTATACATATATTATAAATATTTCATATTAAATTTAATATATTTATTATTTATATAATATAAAATTATCATAATTATAATATATAAATAGAATTTTAAAATTATTTCCAATTATATATATTTTTAATTTATATATATAATTTAATTATCTTTAAATAATATTTTTATATAATAATAAAGATTTTAAATAAAATAATATTATTTTTTTATTTTATTCTATTGTTTTTATCTCTTTAAATTAAATTTATAATATAAAATAAATATAATATTATTTTTATGATTTTTTATTTTATCATATTAATTCTATATAAATAATTTATTATTAAATATAATATAATAATTTATTAAATAATAATTTTTTATTTATTATTCTATTATTATTTTTATTAATTAGATAATGTCTAAATTCCTTTCATTATATATATATATATATTATATGTATAAATATTTATTTTAACTATTTAATTTCCCCAATAAAGATAACAAAAAAATATAAATTATAATTAATTAATTTTTATCAAAATCTTGTATATGAAGCTAGCGGGCACACGGCCCTTTAAGGTCGCGAAATACGCAAAACCTGCATGAATCCTTTATTCAATCTAATAACGCAAACATATGCAGACTCCATGGCCCACATCCCATATAGGAAACAGTGCTCTTGCGTTTTGAGGTACAGTGAGTTGACCAATGTATAACTGCGTATCATTGCGTATTCTTGGGGCAATTATATAGCGCGGATTATATACCCACAAAAACTTGAAAAACAGTCTTTTCACATATCTTCGCAAATATATATGTGTGTGATGCTGACCAAAAAGAAGGTGAAACGGTAACACAGCACAAAGAGATTTACCAAAAGTAAGGCTACCGCGGAGATGCCCAAGCAGGACCGGGAATCGGGCCTGACTGTTATACTTCTACACTTAAATTACTATGTAAAAGTATCTAGGGCCTTGCAGGAAAGCGTTTTCACTGCATATATACAGGACTCCGCGTTGCAATGCCATCTAAAATATATCACTGCCCAAATATTATATTATCTAGACTAATTTAGCAAAACAACATAAATTTATTTTTCCTTGGTATAAGTTACTTTTCTTGGCAATGTCTAATAAATTTATAACAAAGATTCACGCGTCACCTGATCCAACATGTATAATATATATTTATATATAGTTATATTTTGGCTTTATTTTTCATGAGTCCGGCTGGAAATGAACCATAAAAGGAAAACGATCCAGCTGTACAGCACGAAAAGGTGAACACCTTGGGAATCAGGTAAAATCTGTCCGCCAAAGGCATCAATCTTTGCACTGTTGGCCAAAAACGAAAATGTTTCTTCACCCCTTTCATCCACGGTGAAGGTTGATTGTTTGCCCCAACAGAAGACCGTTTCCTTTCTCACTTCAAAGTCTCTCTTCACAACTATTTTGGCTTTAAATTCTACGACCTATGGCTTTCTAAATTCGACTTGAAGTCGCTCCAGATCCTATCCATCCTTTGGTCCTTGGGCCCTGCGCAGAAAGCCCGGCGGATGAATGCAGACTTGAAGAGGGAGGCTGCAAACCAACTGATAGACTCATCAAGCATACCGCATCCCCTGCGAACATTTCAAGCCGCTGCGAGAACGGTCTCATTTTGCAGTTACACTCATTGCAAGTGTTTCAACATCTTAATATTTCTGCCATGGTCAATCTGACTCAACATGCCGTATATTCAACAACTATCAACACTTCATGAAGTAACCTCGTCTGTCCAAAAGGCTGGTGAACTAGAAACTGCCAGGATCACTTGCCCTTTCTGGACCTTGTCGAGAGGTACTCCGTCACATCTGTGGCGCCCGAGCGTAAAAGCAAAGCTTTCAAACGGCGTTCTTCGTGGCTGAGCCGTTCCACCTAATGGAAGACATGGCACACTTGGCCTGCGAAATGTCTTGCAACATCTTGTACCGGTTTCTAGACACAACTAATTATGACGAATTATACAAGGTACCGATCGTCTATGTACTTTATCTCTGGTTCAGCTTCTGTGCAGGCTGTTTTTGGCCCGCAATGTCATGAAGTCGTCGCATTCTCAACTGCGCTGCGGACCTCCAAGGCCTTGTCTTGCTTCTTTCTCCTGGATAGTTCTTGTGACTTGTGACTCAACAAGTCTCTCTCTACACTCTGTTCCCTGAAATTTGCTTTCATCCCTGCCAAGAGAAAGCGCCTTGTAGCTACGGATTTCGAAGCTTCAGCAGCCAGAGTCTGTGTTTGGATGCAATTTGAAAATTGCAGGCATGCAACTTCAATACAATATCACAATCTATATTAATACCCATGCCATTTTGGTTCAAATACGGTACACACATTTCCGTGCTTCCTTGACCACAAGCATCATCACCATATCTGGAATGACTCTGTCTCCTCCAATACTCTACTTCCTCCTGGCCCAAACCTTCTTCAATAGCTTCTGGACCTAGTCTTGCCAAAGCGATGCTGCAAGAATGGGCCAAGGGAATAAGGGAATCATGGAGAATCCTGCGTCGCACGTGTCCCTTGGGGATTTTGTTTACCGCTTAAGCAAGGTGAATTTCAACGAGCATAAAGGAAACCTGTGTGACACAACCTTTGACGTGTCCGTTGAGAGACTGCGCATTCAATTCCCAGGAGCCAGTGGTCCTACCACGTCGATCCTGCTCTAAAAGAACGCTGTCAATTGACTCTGACTACTTAACATAGTCAGGATAAAAGTCTACAACGGTGATGGCACATTAAAATTAACTTTGTCTCTTACTGAGGTCTCTGCTGACAGCTGTTTTCACTGCCTCCACCTGATGGTATGTGTTGCTGAGGACGACGATGCAACATGTATCCGAACATGACACTGGCTCCTGTGGGTTTTGGTTTGGCACCACCCTCTCATCTACAGGTCAGGATCGACATTGGGCAAAAGCTTTGAATGATAGATAAACTAACATATACAAATATACGAGTGCATTAAGTACATGAAAATATGATAAAATATGCATCCTAAAACAACCCATGAATCACCAAGTGTGGCCTTCTGTAGCTCCACCTGAAGGCTCGCTGCCTGTGCAACTGAGGGGGTATACCTTACCAGTATAGCCAGCCATTACATGGCTCTTTTTTACGGGGGAACCTATTAGAATCATCTGGGAATGATGATTCACAGTGGATGGAAAAGGGTAATTTGATGTAATTTGGTAACCTAAAACCATATTTATACCATAACCATATATAACCATATCATACCTATATTGACTAACATAGACAAACAGGGGGGAAAACCGGACACCCAAGAAACAAGGGTTCCTAATTCACCACAACCCTGCATCAACCAAGATACCCCTTCCCTTTTCCACGGGGCACTTGAGCCATAGGATCGATAGCGTAGCGAATTAAACCCTTGACCGGTGATTGTTGGTTAAGGGACACTACCTAGCTCTACCTACGGTTCTCTACTTATCTAACGCTTCTAGATAAGACGGTGCAACATCTGTACATTAGTTCGGATGTTATGAATTGGAGATTATGGGACTCATAGCTAAGCTAAACCACTATTGGGACCTACCTGATATATGTACATATAGTGGGGGCTCAGGGGTCGATATATTTCAACTCCCCCCTCGCCGGACCCACACTATACACACTACAGGCACCTACGGCATATGTCGCGCGACGGATGTCAACAGCGACCTATGTGTTGGTTTTGAGGTCTAAAGGAAGGTCTGTACGTATACCTAAAAGGATAAGTGCAGCGTTCCATTTGTGCGGCGGCAAAGCTTTTGTGAATATATCTGCAGCTTGATCATCAGTGTGGATGTACTCTATGAGAGCGGTGTCATCCCTGAAGATTTCAGCTAGGCAAGATAAATTAACTTTGTGTGTTCTTGTGATATGACGAAGTTTAGGACTATATCCTTTCTTTACAACTAAGATAGTAGCCTGATTATCTTCGTATATCCTAAGCGTTATGGAGCGTGCGAGCAACAGCTCCCATAATTGCAATGCTGGAAGGCCTTCCTGATATAGAGAATGGGCTAAGCTAACAACTTCGCTCTCGGTGGTGGACCGGGAGGTCGACGTTTGACGCTTACTAACCCACGCGAGAGGGAAGTGGGAGTTCGGACCAGAAAGCACTAGAAACCCCCCAGAGGTGGAGCGGGCATTTGCTTGTCACCGGCGAAGTCGGCGTCAACATACAAATGGAGCTCTAGATCCTCTGGCTTATCTTGAAGGGTACCAACAAGTCTATAATGGGTTGTAGAGGCTATATACTGGATTAACCTAAGAACTCGCTTGTCATCGGCTCTAGACCAGGATTGGACCTTGGTAGCAAGGTCATTAATTGGTTTAATGATGTCGGGACGTGCTAACCTACCAAGCCATAAGGCTTTCATAAGAATGCGGCGTGCGTTGGGAGCCAGCTCTCCCTTAGATTCTTCATCTTCTGGTGAAATGGAACCATCTGGGGGAAAAGGCGTTGCGGCATGCTTCAACTTAGATGTACCGGTGATACTTTTATATAGCTCGACGGTCTGCTGGGCATAGTCGGCCATGTCAAAGATCATACCAGGCTGGGCGTTAAAGGCAGCACACTTTTCATTACCATTTACTTTATTAAGGGTTGAGACTATGTGGTTCCTGCCGAGGATCCTATAGATGGGCTCAGGAGGTTCTATGTCTACTACCGATGTAAGTTTGGACCAAAAGGCATCATGCTGGTCTGCGGGGCCAGCGAGCGTTAAGTCGTCTACATAGGTGGATAACAAGAGTTTAGTATCAGGGAAGTAAAAATTCCCTGGATACTCTGGAACTTCCTGGCCTCCTAAGTTGCGGATTATTACCTTTAGGTGTTGCTCCCAAAGGCCTCCGGCGTCAGGATGACCATACAGCGCCTTAATTAAAAGGACGACAGGGCGGACAAACTGTTGTTTCCAGTACTTGGGTCTAAGCTCCGGCGGGAGTTCGATCCAGGTCTTGTACTTAGAAGACAGCAGAGCCTGCACGTAGGCCTTTACCGCGTCAGCGGCTGTCGCGCGGTTTCCCGGCAGCGACCCATAGGCCAGGCATGCATTTAAACCCTGTACGGAGGTGGGGTTCGCGCCTAGTTCTTGGTAGACGGCTGCGGCCCCGTGCTCGTCTTTGGCACAGTCTCCGCGATAGACGATTCTGCCTTTCATCTTGTGCAGATGCTCCGCCAATTCATAAAATTTGATCGAAGCAATCGTCATTAGTTGTCCAAAGTGTACTGATACACCAGAAGCCTTCGCTTCTTTGCGGACATCTTCTTTTTCGCGGACGGTACTTAGATCCCAGGTGCCAGCTTTTACTAATCCGTCTGCTTCTGCGCGAATTGCATCTAATGCCTTATGGTTACTTAACATCTCGGCACGGGATAAGAGCTTAGTCACCATGGCTTTAACTTCGGCAGTGGGGGGACTGTCGGGTTCAAGGCCTACTGCTTGGGATAAAAGCTGTTCATGGTCTAAAAGTTCTGTAACCAGCCTAGTAGCAGTGGGATCGGACTCTACGGCTATGGCAAGGTCTTCGAAACCAGCTAATGGGGAAACGTGCTTTAGATGTTGTTCTATCTCCCTATGTGGCTGCGGTTCGCTGGACCCGGGTCCACACGGCATGGCAGGAACGGGCTGCTGGACGCATTTTGAAGGGAATAAGGACTGTGCTATTAGTTGGGTCATTGCAGGTGGATAATTAGCGGAGCGAGTAGTCTCAGCTCCCTCACATTTGGCATGGGGGTGCTGGCACTTGCAACGTTTATCCTGGAAGGCATCTACTATGCGTTGGGAGGTGGACATAAGTCTCCACGGCTTCTTGATTGGAAGGCCATCGCGGGATGTTAAGCCTACAGCACAACCATCAAAGTCTACACGGACGAACTGGGGGTGTTCATCAAAGAATGCTACTACATCTGGACGTTTCCATCCTGTGCAAGGACGGGGCCATTCAAATGTGACAGTACCACCATGATTAAGAACACGTTCAGCTCTTTTAGTAAAACTTTGAAATAACCGTTTTGACTCTTTGACCTGATGCGCTAGCTTCCTAATGAATGCAGCGCCTCCTCTCTTCCTATTGATGTACTGCCAAGGCGAACCGGATGTGCAAGGGATGGAGGCCCACAGGTGTGGGGGCGCGGCTTCAGCGGCTTCATCTATCTGGTAGTCCAGCTGTTCGCACTGCGACTCATCACCCAAGTCTATCCTATCTTTACTGAGTCTAACATGATTGATACTATACTGCTCATTAGTAAAACCCATCTGGGAGTTATTAGAACAAGCAAACTCAAACATGGTTGACCTAGCATTGGGTTTGACGGCTTTCTTGGCAGCCTTCCGGCTTCTGCGATTGTCGCGGTTATGTGTCTTTCCTATAGCAGGACAGCCAAAAACAGGCAGCGACCCTTGGCATAAGTCGGAACATCTAGTGGCAGCTTGGGGGAGAATTGCGACACCGGAAACAGTGGTAGCAGGCTCAGCAGGGGCGCTGGGCTCAGCGGCAGGAGCGACAGGCTCGGACGAGCCAGGCATGACCTCATCATCGAAGATACCCTCCACATCTAATGGACTTTCGGGGGCCATATAGTCGGGCATATCTTCATCAAGTTCCCTACCGTGAAAGATGATACCATGGGCTTCATGATCTTTATCTTCTGCTTCAACCTCAGTTTCACTAACTAGTGGAGCTTTCTTTTCCCTTTCAGCTTCCTTTTCTTTTTCTACTAATTTTGCGAAGCGAGTCCTACACTCATCTGTGTGGATGCGCGAGTGGCCAGTGCAGCCTTTGCAACCAGGTGTCTCCTTCCACTTAAGGATACGATCTACAGTTATGTAAACGGAGCGACTTTTGGGACCTGGTGTTGAGGGTGATGCTATACCGCCTTCCTTGGGGAAAGGCACGTCCTTTAGGGCATATTCAGGCAACTTAAGATCATCTGGGTTATCCCCCCTGATGAGAGCTTGGTGGCGTGAAAAACCTATTGGAAAAACAGGATCACCATCAGGAACAAAGATTTCTGCTTCTGGGACATCAACGGCTGAATTACCGCCTCTGGTGCGATACTCTTGGTAATCTAACACCCTAACAACATTTTTATAACGGAATCCAGGATCAATCCTCCAACCCATAAAGAGACCAGGTGACATGTTTGGTTCCAAAGTCCTTTTTGTGGGTGATTTCTTACGATAGTACACTAACTGACCAAAACACAACCTCATGCCATCAAACTTATTCCGGGTAAGCGATTCCCATTGGGTTTTCTCGGGATCAGCTATGGAAGGTTTATCAAATGACATAGAAAGGCAGGCGTATGGATAGCTATAAGTATGGTATTCATAAGGTAATCCTGACTGGAGGTGAACAGTTCTACAGCATTCCTTTTCCTCACGTACATCCCTCTCGAGGGAGGCATTGTGTGGCCAACGGTTTGGCAAGGATGTCTCTGGGACCATGCCTACTGCATGTGCTGCTTGTTCAAGCTCCCCGGCTTCGTCCATTTTGATGAACGTTCGGGTTGTGAGCTCTGACCCTTTAAGTCCTAGAAAATGTCGGAAATTGCGAGCATGTGCTTCAGCAGTGCGTTTGGATAATGGGTATGCTATGCGTGCACCAGAGTATGTGTCGCGGACAACATGATGCGACCTAATCCCTCCTACACCTACGCCCATGTGTTCAGACCCTTTAGCTAAGATAACATCGTCTGTCGCAAGTTGCTCAAGCGGCTGCTTTGGGGGATCTACAAAATCATCGGCTTTGCCATCCTTGACATGTGAAACCCTCATAGCGGTATCTTTAGCTATATGGCACAAAGGACAATAGGGATTCTTAGGGAAATGGGTACGCAAGTGCTCAGGACTAGTGGCTTGCTGCTTTAGAAGTTCATCCTTAGGCGGCACACCATCACCTAGTTCTACTAAGAGCTTGTCATCTAACGGATGCTTTGGTTCTGGCACACTAGCAGGTTCGGCGCCCTCAACAGGCTCAGGCTCTAGATCTGCTACATCTTCAAGACTAGGAAGATCACTACCGGCAAAGCTAGGAGCAAAACCA